AGTTAAAATGTTTGGACTCGATTCTTACATACGATATGCCGACCTATGATGGCTATACCTTCGTCTGGCCGTTTGACATGGAGAAAACGCCGCTATGTCTTAAGGAGCAGATGCGAGTTCTAACGTTAGAGAACTGTGGTGAAACTTAAGAATCTAGATTGAGGCAAAGCCGATTCAGCCTACAGAAAGACAGAATCACGAAGGCACTTGTTCATCGAGGTGGGTGTAACTAGTCTAGGGTAGTGAAAGCATTAATAAAAGCATCCACAGAGGATCTGGAAGGCTTAATTTATTCGGAAAGGGATCTAATGATGCTACAGCGTATGATTAACGTTAAAGACATTGCCTCAGGTTACTCGCCTTTGACGCACACCATGCCAAATCTAAGCAGCAATGAACGGACCGACGTAGGCAAACAAAAACTTCAATATGTAGGGCGTCTGCTGGAGCACGGGAGTTGCGTGGAACAATTGGACTTGATGCACGCAAGCTTTCAACACTACTACCCACTCGACAAGGACATAGCTACAACTACCTTCATGCTATTGGCCGCCCATACAAAAGGCCACACCGCGTCCGCCTTTTTGCGTAGGATGTGTAGCGGCACCGGGATATCCTAGAGCCATCACAAGCTGGTCCAAATTCTACTCAGAAGTAGCGCTAACCCGACAATTACAAATGAGAGCGGCAAACTACCGCGCCAGGATCTTTAATATAAATTCGAAGCAGTGTCAAAGGAAAGAAGTGATGAGCTAGGCATAAGCAGACTCGATGAGCAGATGGAAGCGAGCTTGTCAATAGGGAAGTGTCGTAATTTTCCAAAGATCTTGGACTTATTGCAGCGTTGGGAGGACTACTACAACGATCCGCAAACCGGCAAGCCTTCTGAAAGACCAGATGACGATTGGAAGGCAGTGCGTGATGACCTTGGAGACGAGGCCACATGGACATGGCTGGTCGAGAAGAACCCTGAGGGCTACAAAGTGGTTGAGGACTGATGAGAAAGAATTGAAAATCTACTCAGGAGCCTACATTGCCTCAGCAACTTGTTGAATTCTGGATTTTGGACGAATGTAGGCGGTAGAGCTCCTGCTTAGGTTCTGTCCTGTTTGCTGTGTTATAGCTCTCGTCGCGTGCTACTATCCGAACACGTCCTTTCTCCCGAAGATCTATCTGATGGAGTGCCAACATTGATTCATGGCGGAGCGGAGAGGGGTAGGGCAGAATGAGCGTGCAAGAATACATTGACGCCATTCATAGACTCGGCTTCCGGAGAAATGATTGACATTGCTATGTCTAAAGAGTGTATTCCGGAACTACCATGCGTCTCGCATCGCGCAGACCTTACCGTCCATCCCCATCCCAAGCCAGTACCAGGACTCAATAACTCAAAGCTGAGCCATTTCCAGACCCTCTCTTCGTCGTCAAATCGCAATCCTCTCCACCGCATCCTTCATAGCCCTGATCCGTCCCATCAGATCGCTCGCCTCGTTGCTAGTGAGGCTGACAGCCACAACCGAGCGACCGACGCCACACGCGCGTCCCAGCGCCATTTTACTGGGCACGTAGACGAACGGCACGTTCTTGTCTTCACACAGGAGTGGAAGATGAAGCGTGATGGCGAGGGGCTCGGCGTCGCTAGCCATGATGATGAGCTCGGAGGTGCCTCGGTTCAACGTTTTGGTTGCTTCATTGGCGCCCTTGGAGATTTGGTGGTAGTGAGTCGCTTGCTGGATGAGGTCCAGAAGCTTTTCGGCTAGGGTGGTGTCGGCGATGGGCCAGGCTGCGGATGGCGTAGACATTCTAGCTTTTGAAGGTCGAAAAGAGGAGTTTTTCGGTTAAGCTTGAGTTCACTGCTTGGCTCGCCCGTGGGTTCCTGCGGCTGTTAGCATGCATCTATCTATTGATCATTTCAAACACTTACACTGCCTTGCTCGCCCTTGCAAATGTCGTAGTAAGTGGTGGGGAAAGGTTGTAGGTGAGATGACAGAGGCCGCATTCCGAAATATATCTGCCTGGGGCTTATCGATAACGACGGTATGACACGTTCCCCATCAACCGCGCGCCTTAGACCCTCACTCGCCGACATGTGAAGCGCGCGTCGACAGAACGCGTCGCGCAAACCATGTATCACCTGTTCAAGTCGATATATCTCCATGCGACAAGTAAGGAAGGTACGCGTCCCAAGCCTCTATGCACCCACCGCACTGAAACTAACGGACCGCAGAGTACTCCGTCCTCCTCCTAGGCCTCGACAATGCCGGCAAGACGACGCTCCTCGAGCAGATAAAAGGCACCTACTCGGCCTCGCACCCCAACCTCAAGACCGTCCCCACCGTCGGCCAGAACGTCGCTACCATCGCCCTTCCACCCCCAAATCCACCCATTTACCTCAAGATATGGGACGTCGGCGGCCAACATAGCTTGCGCGGGCTTTGGCAGTCATACTACAGCAGCTGTCACGCCATCGTCTTCGTTATAGACAGCAGCGACGTGGGCAACGCCACACTAGCCGACATGAGCGCGAATAATGCAGCAAGCATAGAAGATATTGGGCGGCTGGATGAGTGCAAGTTGGTCTTGGAGAGCGTGTTGGCGAACGAAGATGCCAGCGGCGTGCCTATCTTGATACTAGCGAACAAGCAAGATCGAGAAGATTGCGTTGAAGTGGTGAGGATCAAAGAGGGCTTTGTGAGGAGAGTGTTCGAGGGAGAAAAGGGTGGGAACGTGAGAGATAGCAGAGTGCTTCCTTGCAGTGCACTCACGGGGACTGGTGTGCAAGAGGCGGTCGAATGGCTATGCAGTAGGATGGCATTCAACAAAGAGGCAAGACCGCCGGTTATGAGGTAGTTGCTGGGCGGCACGAAGTCACGAATATACCCCATTATCCGAACTACTAATTCGTCAAATGTAGTCAGCCTAACCTGCAATCTAGGTCTAGCTGTCTTTTCGCGTGACTCCAACACTATCTCAGAGGCATCAGAGCGGCAAAAGCATCGGCTCGCAGCTCGTAGCAACACTGCGAAAAGAGCCTGTCAAGTATAATCTCAGTCCATTGTCTAGCAGTGCGCGCCGATATACGAGCTCGGTAGCAACGCAGTAATCCTCATGCCGACACTTGAATACGAAGAATACGAAGGATCACGCTCACAATGTCTCAAGCTTGACACCGATGTCCAAAGATATTTACATTCAAACTAGGCTAAGAGATTGTATCGTAGTCTCATCATTCCACTCAAAGTCCAAACCACTTGAGGTCCTCCGCCTCATGCACCGGCACAGTGTGACCAACGTTGAGAGCACTGTAACCCACAAGCTTCGTCCCATCACCATAAACCATCTTCGTGTACCCACTCTGCGGAGTGTTCGTCTCGTTCTTCGAGAACGAAACACCAAGCAAACCACTCCACTCCTTCAACTGCTCACCCAAGTTAGGGATTTTGACGAGCGAGTCAGCAGTGCCGTGCCAAGTCGCCATGCGAGGGTAAGTGCCACTGTAGCCAGGGTACATAGCCTTGACCTGAGCGACCCATTCAGCCTGCGACTTGATAACCTGACCGTTTGCGCATCGCGGGTCTGCGGTGCTGGGGCTGGCACCGGGGCTGCCTGCAACACAGCCCGCTGCGACACCGGAGTAGCATGAGCCTGCGGCGATGACGTCCGGGTAGGTGGCCATCATGACGTTGGTCATCATGCATCCGGAACTGCTGCCGGTGACGAAGACCTTGGTGGGGTCGGCGTTGTATTTCTTGATCGTGTACTGGATCATGTTGTTTAGGCCTTGGTTGTCGCCGCCGGCATCGCGCGTGAGTCCCTTGGCGGTGTTGACTTCCCAGCAGTTGTTGTCTTTCTTGGTGGAGGGGAAGATGTTGATGAAGCCTTTTTGCTCGGCGAGGCTGTTGTACTTTGTGGATTGGGCGTAGGCTTCTCCGGTGCCGCCGCAGTAGTGCAGCTGTTCATATATCAGAGCGATTATCTCTACACAATAGACAGGATGGAAAGACGTACGGCGAGGATGATCGCAGGCTTCTCCGCAACCTTGGCAGGAACGTAGATGTTCATCTGGAGGTTGGATGGGTTCGCTCCGAAGTCGTTGACACGAGTAAGGGCGCCATTGGCAGTTGCGCAGAGCGCAGCAACGCTGCCGAGTACTGAGGTGGAGAAGTGCATCGTGAGTGTCGTGAGAGTCCGCAACACACAGTTTCCTGCACCCTTCTCCCCTTCTTATACCCACACCACACTCATCGTGCGATCGTCGCCAGAGCTAAACATTTCGAGGCTGTTTCCCCGTGAATACTAGCCGACATAAACCTCTGTTAAAGCGTCAATCTAAAAGTTCCGAAGCGAGGAGGCACGGCTATGCGCATGTGAGAGCATCAAGTTCGTGCGTTGTTTCAAAACACTTTTCCTTCTCCAATGACATGCGACTGAAACGGCGTACCTACTGCTTTCGTCGGACGATGGAGGTTTTTGTTCCAACTGAGGTTAGCCACCAGGGGAATGATGTGGAGTAACCGCAGGGAATCAGGGGTCTTGGATCATTACCCCGGATGAACTCCCGCCACATATATTAACCTACTACCGAGCTTTGCTCCGGCGCACGTAACATGTGGCATTGCCTACTTTCGCATCGACGTCACTTGTTATGCTGGGTTGTGACGGTTACCGCGAGTGTTTACCGGGCACTGACACCTGACTGCAACCTTTCGGCGTGCCATTGAGCATTAAGGTATCCATATGCCGTTATGCATCCCGACATCCGTTCCTGGAGCCAGCGAATATATGGGCGTTGTCTGTTTTGAGGGTCCGCAGGTTGCGCAATCACGGCACTAAAGATGGGGGCTGACATGCGTTAGTATGAGGACGTGCCAGCGGCTACATCCGAAATTGCGTGAGACCGAAATCGAGCAGAGCAGCCATAGCACAAATGCGTCTCAAAATCGTTGTTCAATTATTCTATCAAACTCGCAAACGCTACTGGGTATCTTCTTGCGCCGTCTCTACAAGTTTGGGTGCGCCTCCTTCCACTCCTTGCTGAAAGGGTAGTCGATGTATCCCTTCTCGCTCTTAGGGACGTAGAAAGTATCGCGGTCGTAAGGAGTAAGCTCGATGCCCTTCTCTATCCGGAAAACGAGATCAGGTGTGCTGATAAAGTAGCGTCCGAACACCGCGACGACATCGCGGTCCTTGTGCTCCTCAACAATCTTCTTCGCATCCTCGGCCTTGAGTCCACCAGCGATGAGAAGCTTGCCAGTGTAGTGAGGCAGCAGGGGGTCGAGGGAGTCGTAACCCTCAACATCTGCGTTACCAGATACGCGCGCCTCGACAAGGTGGAGGTAGGCCAGGTTGAATGCGTCCAGTCTCTTCATGATGTCTGTGAACTGAGGCAGGGGATCCTTCATCTTCATGCCCTGAAACTCGGAGAATGGACTCAATCGGATGCCGGTCTTGTCGGCGCCAACGGCCTCTACTACAGCCTGGGTGACCTCGACACAGAACCTGGAGCGGTTCTCAACAGAGCCGCCGTAGGAGTCTGTACGCTTGTTGCAGGTATCCTGCAAGAATTGGTCGATGAGGTAGCCGTTGGCAGCGTGGATCTCTACACCGTCGAAGCCAGCCTCGACGGCGTTCTTGGCTGCTTGTGCGTAGTCGGAGATACTCTGCTTGATGTCCTCAACGGTCATCTCCTTGGGAGTAGCGTATCCCTCGCCCAGGGATGTTGCGCTGGAAGATTTGATGGTGATGTCGTTCGCCGCAGCAAAGTCCTTGTTCGCTACACGTCCAAGGGCCCAGAGCTGGAGGTAAATGTACGAGCCCTTCTCGTGGACAGCCTTGGTTACTGGTTTCCATGCGTCGATCTGAGCCTGAGTGTAGATACCGGGTACGTTGGGGTAACCACCAGATTGTTTCGAGACCAGGGTGGCTTCGGTGATGAGGAGGGTTCCCGGTACGCAAGCACGCTGGCCGTAGTACTGTGCAGCCATGGGCAGGATCTCATGGTCGTCGTTGACACGGAATCGTGTCAGAGGTGCCATGGCAATACGGTTCTTGAGCTCCATGGCGCCCACCTTGAGCGGCTGGAAGAGGCGGTCTGCGGACATCTTGGTATTGTGGGTGTTTGATTTTGGTAAGTTTGAGAGTTCGGACATGTAGGAAGATATTGAAGGAAACAAAAAACAGCAGCTGTGAGGGTTGAATAACAAGACTTCAGACGGACCAAAAAGGCTATATACGCCCCTACTAAGCACATCCCGTCCGATGGTTTGAAATCAGAGCTCGGTCGATCTCGGCATCCGCGCGGTATTTGGCTCGTAGAATTTTCCAAGGCGTTCCACGCCGGTGTAGACCCTGACGGGCATCTTCCTAAAGATTATCTAGTCTTCAGGTGGTAAAGTGTGCCCGCATAGAGATATGTAGCCGCTGGAAGCGAGATGGTACCTGGACTTAGCAGGAGACGGAACTTGTTGGCGGGAGCGGCGGTATCGCCGAAACCTTCGGGCCTATGACGTAAGCCGCATTGGTCTGGATCGTCAAACTGAAGGAGCGAAGGCCGACATTTCATTGTATGTATTGATAGACGCCATCTGGATTTAGATGCAAGTAGAGCGATTGATGGTAAGAAATTAGAACAGTTGCGCGAGAATGAATCCCGAGCACGCTAAAGCTGACTAACATCGTGTCCGCTTGTTTCCTTGAGAACCTTTTGCGCCCTGCGCAGTTGCTCTTCCAAGTCCTCATACCAAAGCCACCGAAAGTTCTCATTAAGCTTCTGCTCGAGTTTGTTCATATCATCTTCTACCCCTTCCACCATGAAATTGTATGCTAGACCATTTTCGATACTCCTCTGAATACATCCCTGTGTTCTCGGTCGTCTGACAGCATCGTAGGCCTTGAAGGCAGCCTCAATATCATTGGAAGTCCCGACATCAGCTATCAAGCGACTGAGAAGAAATGCATCTTCCATAGCCATACCAGCTCCGGCTCCCATATGAGGCGTTGTGGCGTGTGCGCTATCACCCAATAGACACACACGGCCCTTGAAGTATGGCTTATCGTGTTGAAGAGTGTGTAGTGCCCATTTCGATGGTAGAGTATGTCTTGCGATAAGATCGATGAGTGGCGGATAGAAGTCTTTGAACTTTTCGCGGACCTCGTCTGCACTCGTGGGTACTATCCAATCATCTTGGTCCCAAGTGCTCGTGAGGGATCGATCGTGTGGCATGGCAACCATGTTGATGAGTTCGCCATGGTCGACAGGGTAGGTGATGCAACTTCCTCCATAACCGCAGTACAGTGTACCGTTCAGCGCCCTTTCTTCTCCTAGCGCTTTCTTGACCACTTCAGCTGGGGCCATAGCCCTTATCGCGCCCTCGTGAGCGTATGCCGGCTTCACATCTGGACCACATACAAAGCTTCGTACCTTGCTCTTGATGCCATCGCAGCCAATGAGTGCACTGGCTAGAGTAGTCGTTCCGTCGGCGAAGCTTATCTTGAGCATACCAGCACCCACTTCTTCGACACTCTGGAAGCTTTTGCCGAAGCTTGTTATGTCCTTGGGAAGCAACGCAACCATCTCATCAAGCAGACGTGCCCGGTGTATTCTACCTCGCATACAGAACCCAGTGGGCGCATCTGGTGTCTTCTTGGCGTCAGCCTGATGGAAACCGAGATCTCCAGCTTTGGCTCCATTGGATCGTCGCTCGTCCATACCCCATCTGATCGTGTTGAAGGTGTTTTCGCGTTCAGGGTCTGTGTTTATCGTGGCGTGTTTCATGTAGCCTTCCAGCAGTCGAGGATCGATAAGGTGCAATGCCGTCGTGGCGTTAGCACCGAATCCAACGCCGGCACCTATCTCCGCGAAAGCCTGGGAGGCTTCGTAGATGTGCACTTTGACACCATGTTTGAGAAGACCGATGGCGAGCGCGGCACCACCAAGTCCGCCGCCAACGATTGCGATCGGAAGGCCATTGTGGTTTTGGAAGGTTCCTGTAGTTGACTCGTTTGCGGACATTCTTTGATGATTGGTCGTTGTTCCAGGTGCCGTCCTTTCTGAGGCTGCGTCGCAACGCCGCGTCTTATATTATTGAAGATTCCATACGGGCCGAAGAGAGTTGTCAATAACTGCCGGACCCGACCCGCGGGGCTGGTGTACAAAGTAAGCTGATGTTAAGACGCATGCCTAGGCACCCATGAGTTTAAGTTCAGGCCGGCTTGAGGTACATCATTCTCCCGAAGGAGACCCTGATGCGGATGACGTAGTAGACGGAGGCGGGAAGGTGCGGAGGCGGGGAAATTGGGGATAGATTAACTCCACGCTAACTGGTGATAATCGGGTTGCTATCTACTCCAAACGCGCTCCAGATGATGTGGGGGAGCAAAGACACCGACACATGTTCCAGAACATCGTCAAGTCTACCGGCCCAATTGTCTCTACGTAATTTCGTTTCTTCAAAGCTCATTGTGCGCCGGCACGGCCTTTTGTACATCGATGCCACAGACTGCAGGCGTACCTACTTCCATTCGGTAGACGCACTTTTCTTCCTCGACGATCTTCCAAATCTCGTCATTTTCGGCGCACGCAAGAATGACCATGGTGCTTCGATTGGGGCCGTTCCAGCAGTGTTGGCCATTCTCGTACTTGATTGCAATCCTTTCTCCACTGCCCAAGCCCTTACCATCGGCAGGAAGCTCTTCATCGACGGTGATCGATTCAATGCGTGCAAAGTTGCCCATGCCAGTGTGGCCACCGCCTTTCTTAGGCTTCTGAGTGGTCTTTGAGAGGAAGCAGTGCTCGTATGTGTATTCGCCAGAGTCAGTGGAGGTGCAGCGGTCCTTGAGGGCGCGGAAGATGGAGTCTGGTCCGTAGTCTTTGATGAGATCTTCCTCATGCCTTGTGAGTTCCGACTTGTCGCCTTCGAGTTCCTTCTTCGCAGAGTCAAGCTGTGACTTGGCATCGGTGATGGCTTTTGATTCGGGAGCGTCGCCGCTCGTGGGGTCTGCGAGGATACCGTTCTCGATGAGCGCGACACGCAAGTCGCGTAGCTTGCTGTCAACCCAGCTACGGATGGAGTCGGGAAGGTACTCCTCAAACTGGTATACTGCGTGCGATAGTCAGTAGATAGCTTTGGATGCGTCCTGGAAATACTACTTACGGAGCTCCACGTCAGACTCTTCGACTGTCTCGAACTCGTCCCATTTGATGGCGCTTTCAGAGTCTGGCTTGAGAATCTCGTCGAGGTCGCGGTCTAGAGCGTTGTTGGGTCCCGGGCGTTCTTGTGCAGCATAGTTCTCCCAGGCCTGGACGGCACGCTTCACGCCTTCGTCGTTGAAGTTGGGATTGTACTCCTCCTTGAAGCGCTTCAACATGCCCTCGAGCTCCTCAACCCGTGATTGTGCCGCGTTCCTCTCGTCTCGTACGCGGTTGACGTTGTCAGTCAGCTCTTGGATTCTATCCTTGGCGAGGCTGGCCAGCACTGTGATCTTGCCGCCCTTGCCTGCGCCCTTGACGACCTTGCCTCGCTCAGCCCTCTCGATCTCGGCGAGGCTCTTGGTCAGCCCGTCGACTTTGAGAGTTGCACCTTCTATCTGCGTCTTGAGCGTCTGAATACGGTCCTCGACCTCCTTCCGCATGCGACCAGCCTCGGCGATGAGCTCCTTCCTCCTTTGCTTTGCAGCGGTCAGGCTCTTTTGTCTCGCCTCGTCCGCCTTCCGCCATTCTTTCCCAATCGACGCGCACTTGTCTTCACACTTGATGCCCCCCACACGCTCGTATTCGTCGCTGCCGTCACAGCATAGTTCGTAGTCGCATGCGCCATCGTTCACGTTGGTGAAAGGAATGTAGCTCGGCTGGTGGCCCTTGTTCTTGCAGTAGAAGCCAGGGAGGGCAGGCGTAGCGTTGATGTCTTTGCCCTTAAAGCCTAGAGGCTGAGGTGGGGAGAGGGGCGAGAGGTAGGCGCACGCCGAGGTGCCTGGCTCATCAGAGCCATCGGGGCAGTCGCAGTAGTCGTCGTTCAGGCGTGCGATTGGGAGTTTGATGGCGGGATTCGAGATACAAGTGAATGTCTCGGCATCCTTGTAGTACTTTGCAACTAAACATCGACTATCAGCCATACTCCGCGTCTACGTGGAAGCTCTCCCTGAGCTGTAACACATGCAACATACACTCCGGAGCAACACCCCGCGGCCGGGCGGGGTCTGACGCCGCGTCTGCGGTACTGGCTAAGATAGGGAGAATGAAGGCTAGCGAAGACACGTGCTTCCTTCCCATTTTGAATGTGGAGAGAGCAATTGGAGCTCGAGGCCTCAAGATGCTCGAAATGCCACATCGACATAGTTTCAGGGTCCACAGGCCCGTGCGCCGCCATCCGAGCTGCCCCAGCCCTCACCTCCACCCAACACTCCACAACTCCAGCGCACGCCCAATCTACAAGGCCGTAACTCGCGACTCCGTATTTACTCGCTATCGTCTTGGTGCACACATCTGTCCGTAATGACGACTGGCACTCGCACATGTGTGTCGGCATCGCGTCCAGTTGGGTATGACTTCAACTCCGCATAGCCTGTGTGAGTCGAATGGAATGCGAACACTAACCTTGTCCATGGCATGACTGCCTCGCGTTTACTTTACCGTCTTTTCGAATTATGCGTCACCCAATGTCCTCAGCGCCCAAAAGTGCGTTTGGCGCTCAGCTCGGACATACCAGCATTCCTCGGCATCAAACGAACAGTAGCCTCCTATCCAGGCCACGTTACCAAATATGCCCCCACTAGCATCATTCAATCGCCAACCTGGTGGATCTATTCCTCAAAATCGGCCATCCATCGGGCCAACGGCGCGGCTTTTGGGTGGCCATCTATGTTCCGGTCTCTAACAAACGCTGTACATACATTCGATTTGCTCCGTCTTTGAATCTTGGACATCCACATTCAGCTCTAGTATGACTGAATTCGCACGCTAGAATGATGTCTTTTGTTTGCATATACGCTCAACTCGCGTCAGGATTTATGCGGCGAGGTCATCAGAGTATCATTCTCTTCCTTCTCGAATCCCATCATTCTATCTCTGAACATCGATTTCCATCATTTGCTCATAACTTCATTT